CGACTTGCATGCCCCCCCCCCCCTCCGGCGCTGTTACCAGAGGTGGTGTACGAGGTCGACGTGGCTGCGAGGACGGTCAGGGTCAAAGACGGCATTGCAGAATATTCTGCACTCAGTATCTCATACTATCTCATCGAGACCACGCTTTCCCCCCTCCAACTACACTTATTTCCCATCTCGCAATGTTATACGCGACACCGAAGGTCGTCACCCACATAGAGTACGATAACAGCCAGCACCAGTGTGAAAGATTGATCATCAGGCACGTATACAATACAACCAAAGGGGCCCGCGGGGTAGAAGCGCTGCCGGCTGTACGATGACATCTGGAAGTAGACATCAGTATCCCCCGCACCCAGAGGTAATGACAGTGGACTTGATACGCGATGATGGACTGTGATGTCCCGATGAATCTACTCCACGAGCAAGCTCCTCTTTGTCTTCGCTTAGACCGGAAGCCTGTCTTCGACCCGATTGCACCGCAGTAAGATCGAGATGTCTGGCACGCACCTCACGAGCTAGGAAGACTCGGAGAGCGGTGGTCGATGGGAACCCTTCCAAGCACAATGGGCGGTACGCCGTCAGGAGCAAGACGGCGTCCGCGCTAGTAATGAAGCTATAAGTGCATAACGATACCACCGGGCGCCTCATCGCTGATGTCAATTGCTTTGTACGAAAACCGTCGTGAGGTACAGAGACTCCGAAGCTCAATCTGTACGAGATAGTCCCCACCAAAGAGCGCGATGTCGGCCGCTATTGACTTCAAGCAACAAGTTCGGGATAGAACGACGTGTCGCGTAGTTGAGCAAAGGCGTCCCGATGCCCCACACGTTCTGTTCAGGCCAACAACTCAGATTATATAGTAGACAGACCAAGTGAATTGGGTCGAACAAATGAATAACTCGAACAGCAAGTCAACGCGCGCGCATTGCGCATGACCGTTGCGAACGGGGCGAGCTTGTGGTCGAGTACCGCCCTCGACAGTGTGCGAACACAGCTGATCTGCCCGAACGGCGGGAGAACCCGGCACCATATACGTCGAACGGTGCATCGACGCCAAACGGCTAGTCGAGGAATCAGTTGATCTCGAACTGCGCAAGGTCATCGAAGATACGCGAGCAGCCGTACCAATGCTTCGCGGTACTCCTTGCCACGGAGGATCATATAGTGGAGGTGGACTTCTGCGGTGGCCCGCGTTATTGAGGCTCGGGTCGGTCTTTCATGAGGTATAGCCGAGGCGATCCCTGCACATCGGCAAGCTGCTCGCGCGTAATGCCTTGATGGATGTAGTCGAGAAGCCGGCTGGCATAGTACGGCGCGCGAGGGCATACCAATGGCTGTGGGCGTAGGGATAGACCTGAGATCTGAGGGCATATGCGAGGTGCTAGAGAGTGCCATCCATTCCTTGAGCGCGGCATGTACTAGATGCCCCGGTGGTTGTTGGAGGGCGTAGGCGAGGTAGCGCAGCGCGTGTGTAAATGGCCGATGTAGTAGGGGCATGGATTTGAGCTCTGTGCAGAACGGTGTATGCATGATGCGGCCGGAGAGTCCAAGTGTGCGCAGCAGAAAGCTGGCCTGCGCCTGTTCTAGTGTTTTCGGACCGTCAGCAATGTCTGGGACTGCGTTGGTACAGTGCAGAATACCCACTCGTGTCGTGTATAGTAGACGCGCGACCGCGGGAGGCAGATCTTTCAGGACATATTCTCCATGCCGGTGACGGCTCGGGGTGCACGCATCGACCTGATTTTGATTTTCTCGTACGTAGACCTGGTCCTACACATGGTGTCGATGTCGGACTTGAATGGCACACCGACGTAGGCCGCCTCGCGTACTTAGGTAAGGGCTGTATCGCCCAGGTACAGGTTTATCGCATGGGTGGGGAGAACGTTGGAGATCGTCAGGTGCATCTTCAACGCGTTTGTGCGGAGCTACTAGCTGCCGGCGTCGTTGAACAGTTACATGAGGTGCGCCTGGAGGTCATGCAGTCCTGACGAGAGCATAACACAGTCGCCGGCGTGTAGCAGGTGGTATCACCGAGCGTGGGATCATCCAGATATGCGGTGCGGGTCGAAGACGGCGAGATAGAGGGTTCGGGGTGTGAGCGGGTAGGGATCCCTGATCAGGCCTCAGGACGCCAGTGGGCACTCCCGAAGTCCTTCGACGTCTCTCCATCGGAGCGGACGGTGTAGCGTATGTCCTCGTACAGTCCGCATAGCCAGTCGATGTAAGGCTGGAGCAGCCGCGGCGGCGCAGCTCGGCTCACAGCGTATCCCTATGAGTAGAAGGGAGAGCCCTACTTTTTATCAACGGAATGCACACCGACTTGCCTAGCGCTTGACACTTCTCGGCGATGCGCTTGTGGAGGATGAAGATGATGTTGTTGTTCGTCCTGTAGCCCTCTCGGAAACCATTCCGCGCGGCGGGAATAATGCTGTCGCACTCTGCCCATGCATATAGGCGCACACGAACGAGGAGGGTAGGGAGTTTGGGCAGCACGGATGAGAGCCCGATGGTGCGGCAGCTTTTGGGATCGTAGGCGGGGAGGCTGAGGGAGGCTGCGCTTGGAGATGCCGACGACGTTGATCCGCAGCCGAATCGAGGCCGAGATGGAATAGCTGCAGTAGCGCCTCGTTGTCTATCCTCGCTATGAGAGAACACCATCCGTTTCCGGTGCATCACTGCGACTGCTGCGCTCACTGACCCTTCGTCTAGCGTCTACGGACGACGGACGAGGTGGCGTCCGGGAGAGTATCGACGTTGCGAGCCGCGGTGCAGGCGGGGATTTGCGGGGGCGGCATGGCAGCTCGGCTGCGGCAGCGGTTGAACTCGGCGGGGATTCGCGTAACCCCGTGAGACAGGTAGTGAGGGAGTCGCGCTTCTGCCACCATCTTTCCCTTCTGTGTTTCACGACAGCGCCATTGACTGGATCAATAAATGCGTCATGCCTCGTCGCGGCACGGCAAGCCCGGTTGGACAATGCCCATCCACAGTAATACGTGCTGTGCATAACGAGGTATAGTGTAGCCACGGAAGCAGCGCAGGTCCGGATTACATTGCGGCGACCGCCTTAGGAGCCAAGGAAAATCACGACGATGCGGTCCACTTGGGTCCACCGAACGAGACTAACCGTGGCAATCTATCATGTGGTCGTAGCTCCGGCACGAGCCACCCATCGTCAGCTCCTCCCTTTCTCTTGACCGCCACCCATCCTTCTGGTATCCAATGCATATTCACGAGTTGAACAAAGCACGCTCCTACGATAGTACTGGCTGAACGGATGGAAACAACGCGTGGCAGACAATCAAACACCGTTACGGCTAGAGAAAGGGTCCTTAATTCATCTATTTGCTAGGTGACCTATTGCGCGTGGACGAGATCATTCATCGGGACTTGACAAGGTCTCACATCTGCCTTCGTCAATCTATACACTTGGCTATGCTGTCTACCTTCCCTGCTTGCGGGAGCCTTGCATGGTGGCAGATCTCGTGGTAACACGGTCGTGCTCCCTTTCCGTGGCCGGTCGGCCGGAGCGCGTCATGAGGTGACTATCAACTCTTTCAGTGACTACCTGCGCTTGATAGGCCCTTTCTTGAACAAAGGAGGCTTGGAAGCTCTTTGGCGCCTTCCTATTTAAGTGACACTGCGACTGCCTGGAGAGACACTCGTTGCATGATGCCCCCGCCCAGCTCATTCCCTCGGGCATTCTTGCCGGAGCCGTGTGCTCATGAATACGAACCCATTCTCGAGGATTCTGCATTAAACACTACTCAAACGTGCACCTGCGGAGCAACGGACCGTACGGCAGCCGCTGTTTTTGCTGCGGATCCTCTCAAAGCAGGAGAACGATGGCAACAACTCTATAGCCAGCGGGTTCGACTCGGAACCAATGTCGAGCTACAGAAACATACGGTCGTAATCGCTTCTTTAACGAGATTGATACGTGGGCCTTCGGCTTCCGGCGACTCCAGCAGGGTCATCTGCCTGGTGGATAAGATGCAACTGTGCTCGATCTTGATGGACATCATCGCCCAGGACGACTTCTTCCGGGAGCATCCAGTAAGACTAGTTCCTACAGCCACGTTCTAGCTTGCCTAAAATATCATCCAATTAGGTCTTTATCATCGCCTCCCTGCGAATAATCTTCCATATTTTCATGGTCGCCGATGCCGCGGATGTGCCACTGTCTAAGAGCATCAAACTTGTCGCTGAACTCCTCTGCGATAAAATCTGGGACAATCGTAAATGGTTTATGCAGGCTGATGAGACACATGCGGAGTATCCTTTTGCTAGAGAGAAGATCTGTGCGGCTCTTCTCACAGCAGTGTTGACTCTAGTCACCGAGTACGTCCACTTCGGTTCCTCGCTTGCCAACTACGGTTCTCAAGCAACACATCCAGCCGACCTATGAAGACTTCGCTTGGTGTTCGACGAGCGAGCCTCGTCTGCTGGATCCTAAACCCAATACTCGATGTTAAGCCAGATGATGAGACCGTCTGCCCAATGTTCTCCGTCATCCTCCTACATCGTGCTCTCGTCGGAGACCCTACGATCTGCCCAAGTCCACGCCAACAGATTGCAGTTATCAATACGTCTGTCCTCCTTCACGTACTTCCGGCTTTTGACGCTGCGTCATACGTACAGCGACTCTCGAAAGCGTTGCAGAATGAGGATGTTCTCAACTCCGAGCTTGATACCCTCCTGACCCTGGCTTGCGTCTCCCTCTCCGCCCACAGGCCGCTTCTCGCGAGTCTTGAGAACTCTAGCATATTTTCCGACCTGGCGAATGCCGTCAAGCGCCAAGTGACTAAGGGAGCCCCCGGGCGGCAACACCGCGTGTTGGTAGAGTGCTTGTCGTTCTATACGTACGCATACATTCACTCGTATGCAGTGTATCTCACTGACTTCGAGAGTATCGCAGCTCAACGCTGGCAGTGGGATGTACTCACCCGGACATTCGCTCAACGGGAATCAACTTAACTCTTGAAGGGCGTCTCTTTGAAGTCCTTTCTTTTGCAATTACAGCTTGCGTTTCGGACAGATACGATCCAACTGCTGATCTGACCTACAGTAAGCACGCCGGTTGCTCATCGAGATATCTTACTCAATCATCTCAGGATTTTGTGTAGATCATCTTCAGATTGTCGTCGCATGGGCCATGGCGGTGAATGCCGTCAAATCCGTAACGTCTTTCCGGGACCGCATGCGAGAGTCTCTTCGGGTAGTTTGGCATTCAACCTCGCACCTTCTGCAGGACAGGCGCTTCTCGTCGACTTCCAGGACCGGCCACGAGCGGGTGATGAAGTTGTGGAATGATTTGGGGAAGTGTGTCGGCCACGATGAAGATAGCAACGATGTACCGTCCCCAACGCAGTTTTGTTCATGGGGGGGCTGCCAGTATCATCGTAAACTCCGTGTCGGTGCCTGGAAAGCTTGCAAAGGCTGCGGGGACGCGGTATGCACTTATCTTGCTTCTGTCTTAAGGAGTACAAGCTGAGCTTCCCGAGCCCAGATGTATTGCGATCGCTCTTGCCAACGACAGGACTGGAAGGAGCGACACCGTGTAGAATGTAGACGCATCAAGTGACGGTGCTGGCGGAGTAGAGTTCGGCGGGGAGACGACTGGGAGACGGAGAGGGCGTAGATTTAGCATGTGTACTGTACATTAGGGTCAGAGTTGGATCAGCAGGGCTGCTCCACACGCGAGCGCATCGTATCTCGAATCATCATCACCGCTTAGCGCGGCTTCTTTTGTTCGCGTCGTGCCTCCTCCCCCGGCCGTGCCCGCCGGACAAGTACCAGACGCATACGAGGCATAGCCTGACTCTTGTCGGCCTGACGTCTTGTCTTACTACTCCCCGCTACCATTTCATCATGGGCTCATGGGGTATGCATACCGAGTGCCTTACTTGCACATCTATGCGTGTATGGATTAACAGATGTATCCAGGTTCGATGCATCCCCCTCAGACGTACGGTTTGAAAAGTCGAGGTATACGGCATAAAGAAGTCTTCAGAGTCGAGAGCGCGCCGGATGCGGATCCGCGGAAGGGCGCGGGAAGACTTCGGGCGTGTATGTGTATAGCAGGGCGTTGTAGAAGCTACCACACATTCATCAGCCCATGCTAATAGAGTAGCTTTATAACGATAACATGAAAAGCAGTACCTCTGAAACCAATACTCCATCGCATTAAACCCCACACTCGCCCTCACACTCCCCACGACCTGATACAGCGCCAGACTCAACCCCATGAGCGCCGCGCCCAGCACCATCGCCCACTTCCTCCCCAGGCGCGGCAGCTCCATGAAGTAGCACGACACGAGCGGCGTGGTCACGCCAGGGGGGTATATCCATACGTACGAGCGGTACGTGTCGGAGATGGAGCGGGATGTGTCGACGCCTTTTGCGCGCAGGATGAGGGGGAGGAAGTAGCCGGCGATCGAGAAGGACCAGAAGTCTGACATGAAGCTGTGCGTAGGTGTATGTTAGCGACGTTCGCTGTATGATGCGAGATGAAGACGCACGCGATGGACAGGACTACGAAGAGGTAGATGTACGCCCTGGACCTGAACAGCCCCATAATATGCGCAAACGTCCGCCCGAACCGTCCCAGCACAACACCTCTCGCCCTCCTTCCACGCGCCCCGTCGCCCTCCTCCTCAACCTCCCCAGACCGCTGCGCCTCCTCCCCATACAACGTCCGAAAATCCTCATACGTAAGCCCCGGCACCGGCCGCCCATTAACCTTCGCAACGGCGTAAACAACCTCGATCGCCTGCTCGTCCTTCCCCTTCGACAGCAAGAACTTGGGCGACTCGTGGAACGTGAACACCGCGAAGCGCAGGACGAACACGGCCATCGTCACCGCGCCGAGCGTGACCATCGTGTACCGCCACCCGCGGTTCGACGCCATCGTGCAGCAGGGAGTGAGGCCCGTGTTGCATGCGGGGAGGCCCGCGGCGCAGGAGTTGGGCGGGATGAGGCCGAAGGATATGACGGTTGCCACTACGACGCCGAGGGGCTGGAAGGTGCTGAGGGCGGCGAGGAGGAAGCGCCGTTTCTGATTGATGGTGCGGAAAGTCAGAATTGGAGAGGAGACGCGTATGGGAAGCGCGCGCGCTCACTTTGGGTAAGAATTCGAGCGTGATCGTCGCGTCGATGGGGATATTGCCGCGCACGCCGAACCCGGATAACGTTTAAAGGGTTGCAGGTCACAGATGGCGCACCAAAGACGCGAAGAAGCATATCGCGCCATAATTGGACGGCGCAGCGAACAAAAAGCCAACACGGACGCGATGAGGCACCTCAGGTTGAAGCACCACCGCCTGCCCGCGATATCGACGAGCATGCCCCGCGTGAACGCGCCGACGGTAAGCCCGGTGTGGAACGCGGCGGCGAGGTCGCCGATGCGCGCGTTCGGGACGCCGAGCTCGCGCTGGAGCGGGGAGGCGACGAGGGAGAAGGCCTGAGCCCAGCAGAGGTCGAGGAAGTCGCCGAAGCCGCAGAGGAGGAAGACGAGCCATTGGTAGCAGCCCATCCCCATCTGGCTGCGCCCAATATGAATAAACAGCTTCGGCTTGAAAGACAGGATAGGCGTACTCGAGCTCGTGGTTGATAAGGACGCTCTTCTTCTCGTACAGCGACAGATCGTGGAAGGACCTCCCGCCCGGTATCGCGCCCTCGGCCACAAGACTGGCCAGCTCGTTCACCTTCACCACCACGCCCGCCTTCGACGACTTGGTCGAGTCCAGACTGTCCCTCTCCCCATCCCTACCCGCGCGCTTTCTATCTCGTCCGTCCTCTTCCTGCGTGTCCTCTTGAACGAACGTATGCGTGTCGGCCATCCTGAGCAGTGGAACCTCGTCCTCGTCTTGCGCGGTGCTGGGAAGAGTCGAGCGGAAGAGGGAGAGCGAGAAGAGACCCATGCGAGTCCTTCCGGCGGGAGGTTATGAGAGCTCAACAGGGGCCATCCGCGCACATACGGCCTGTCTAGTTCGACCCGGCGCAAATGTCTTAAACAGGGCGGGCAGTCGCCTCTCCTAATAGTAATTCGGCGGGAAGACCGCAGCGCGTGACGTGCGTGTAGGCGCTCGATCTGTCGATGCTGGAGCTCGTCCCGCCGGCTAACGTGGGCGCGCGTGCTACTCGAGACAGGATGGTTGCAGTAGGCGGGGCGCTGGTGGCGTGCTGTAGACGTAGGTGTGCTTCGAGGGAGTGCGTATAGATGGCGTTCTCGTCTAGTGTGTGTAGGGTGGTAGGGCATGTAGTGAACCTAAGTCCCAGAACGTACACGCGCCCGCAGATCCGTATCCAGATCCAGTTTTGTAGCGACGACGATTGCCTGCGGCGAGCGCCGGCTGCTGTCATAGCGCCATCAAATCAGAGCCGCTGCGGCAGCGGGATTCGGGAAAGACCAGGACGATTGTGGCTCCGGATCGCTCATGGGCATGGTTTGGTAGCGAGCGTGAGGAGGTGTTCGAACCAGAGAGGCGTCTGAGGAGAGTCGGTTCCCATGCGGCCGAGGTCGGCCGAACAGGTTCCAAGTATGTTCATCTACGGCCGGTGAAGGCATCTTCAGTGCAGATAGTTTTCCATGGATGTGAAAGAGATGGGATCTTCCGCGCGCAGTCGTGTCGAACCAATCGCCAGATATATCGAAAGGGCTACATTAGGATGCCGCTATGCTCTGCGTCGAAGAGCGCCAGGGTATCCTCGAGCGCGTAGCGAATGTGGGCGCAGCGCCAGCATGGCGCGTCGGTATCAGTGATACGAGATACGTCTCCTTTGCGTTGACCAGGAGCTGCTTCTAGCGCAATAAAGAAGTACGCGAACTCGAGGTGACGATCTCAGAAAGACGAGGACACTGTCGTCCGCGTACTCGATATGATGCATGTTCGGGCGGAGCTGAAGTCGGCAGGGAAAAGGCTCCAGAGCGTAGGCGACGACGCCTCGCTCTTGCGCAAACAATGTAGGGCATATATCGGTTCTCCATCAATGCGACGTAGACCGGCGTGCACTTCTCAACGACTATCCGGAGAATAGGCACGTTGTTGTTTGAGCGAAAGCCGTTCTGAGCTGGCAGAAGGATGGCGTGGAGCATGAGGAGAATGATCCAGTCAACGTTTGAATAGCTCTTGGGGTCGTAGTCCGGTAGGATGCGCTTTGAGATGCCGATGACGGTGGTGTGGAACCAGTGGCGAAGTGGGGCGCAGCTCGATGCAGAGTTTGAATAACGCCAGCAAGGCTTTGCTGTCCATGTTGCGAACGAGTGTTCCTATTAAACTGTCCACGCCCGCTGCCCTTCGTGGCTCTTCGACCTTAGCGCTCAAGGCTTCCATCTTCTCCAGGGACCACGACGAAGGGGAGGTAGATTTGTTGGATTGCAACAAGGTCACCCATGAATTCGCACGGTCATGGCGGCCGAGATGTGGAAACTAGGGCGCAACTTGCACAGGTGAGGGCGACTGAGTAGACCGCCCAGTCGCCGTGGCAGACCATGAGCACGACACCAAGCAAAGTGCTATCTGAAGACGGAGTATGCCACTAAGGGTCGTGGTGACCGGTGTTGAAGAGGATGTTGCGCTTCTGATGTTAGGCGCCTATCGCTGCCCGTGATGCCCCTTCTCGCCGTTGTCGTACGATGCTCAATTTTCGCTTGCGCTACCTGTTCGTCGTTTATGCATGGGTTCTCCATAGTCAGTGTTATTTCCCAGGATTTTGTTCTCGCCATAGCCTCGGGGTAGGGGCGGCGCGGGTGGAACGAATGGGAAGAACGGGCAGACAGGAGGCTTGTTTGCATAGACACAACCACACAGCGTAGCCTAGCAGATCTTCTTCATGGTCAAAACACAACAAATGGGCCGGAGGAAGCGCCCACTTCCGGAATGCGAAGTAGATGAGAAACGCCGAGCGCTGAGCACTACTCGCACGATCTTCAGCCGCCAGCTTTGCCTCCTTGTTGGTTGCCTCGCCGAGTCCGGGGTTATCATGGCACGCTCCCCAAATAACACTGAGTGTACCCCGTCGTCGCGTATCTGATGAACGTGCATACAGCGATCCACCGTCAGCTAGTAGCGCACCCGTGGCCATCGCCGTTGGTCGTGCAGCTCTCGTACCATCCCTCCTCGCAAGTGGCGCAGGGGTGTTGTACTGACCTTAAGACGAGCTTAGCGTTCGAACTGTATCCATATGACGTATACGTACTGTGAGACCGCGGTGTACGGTTGGGCGAGTGGCGTTCTCACGCCGCTCGTGGCCCATCAAATAGGCGTACCCGCACGTTTAGAACGCTGCTCTCCCTAACGTATCACAGGAGGCGCACGCCCCTATCAATGGTGATGATAGATGTCCGGGATGAGTCGCAAATGGAACGCGTGATCCTCCTGTAAACACGCTTCTCACAAAGCTCGATCTTCAGCTGTACAACGGGTATTTCCAGACGATTTCGGTGACTCGTTTGTAGCATGGCTCCCCGTCTGAAAGTCCGTCTGAAAGCCGTGCGGAATGTGGCAAAGTATCTGCGCGGGCACGGGTCTCAGCGGCATACAGTATCTTGTGCGAGGGTAACGCAGGGAGACCGCGTCCTCGCGGAAGGAACTTTGCATCCGGGACGCGTCCGCGCCAGTGGTCTTCATCAGCTCAAAGGCCTTGTGTATTTGTAACAAAGTATATGTATGTTACATGACGATGAGATACAGTGCGTGACAAGGCTGTGCGGGTGGATAGAGGCCGGAATGACCTTGAAGGGCGGGCGGGTAGACGAAAGATACGCGCTGGCGATAAGGCGGCGCGGTGAGGCGGCGCGAAGCCACCCGCCAGTGTCGTTCCAAAGGCGAGATCCAGTGTGCGCAGGCGCACAATACAAGCGGTCGACAAGACGAGACGCGGTCGAGCGTTGATTGGAGTATTGCGCTATCACAGCGGCGGGAAGAATGATGGCGGGAGAGAAGACGCGCGCGCGGCGCGCGTCCGTACAGCGATTCTTAGAGATTATGAGCGGGCGGTACCAGGCCCGGTGTAAAGATTGCGGTGGATGGTGCTGAATGATTGTGTTGACCGTCAGAACTGACGGTGAGGCGAAGGAAAGAGGGTCGAGGCGCGCAGAACGAACAACATCTGGCCGCCCGCGCGCGTGCGCGTTAGGTGTGGCCGTGTCATCTCGCTAGCTCTCAGGAGCTATCGCTAAACGTAATCTCTCGTGGTCCTCGACCGTGCGTCCTCTGTGACAGCTCGAGATGGACGGCCCCATCGGCGTGAACGCGTAGTATGTCCTCCAGCCCGCCATCCGGGCCCATATCATCGCACTCGTCGACATAAAGAATGACGGGTGGACGCCCCGACATATAACGCCGCCCGAGAGCCTCAGCCAAGCACTCTTGACGTAGAGGAGTGAAAGATAACATGTGAAGCTCGATATGCGTGAGGTTCGGGGCAAGGTCAAGATGGTCGCCAAGTGCCTGGCCCAAGCCGGAAATCGCATCGGACGCGTCGGGATAACCACGGCTGAGAAAGACGTGGCGAAGCTTAGACATGCTACGGAGTACGGTGGTCCACGACGCCGGGCTAGAAAAACCTATGTGATCGATTTCGAGGCGGAATGTCGTGACGTTCATGAATGGCCATTGGAAAATGCCGTCAAGGATAGGCGCGAGGGTGTCGCTGTACACAGCGGGGTTCTCATCCTCACCCGGGACGAAGAGTGCTATGTCGCAACGTGGATACGTGTTGCGGTCCTCTGGACGGTCCACCATTCGATGACCCTCAATCAGTAGAGCCCCAGGCCCTGGGATCGAGTCTTCATCTGTTGAGATGGAGACGTAATGGTATCCGGTGTGTGTGTGTGCGGGGAATGTGCGGGATATGTGGTCTCCCACCGATGCCGTCAGAGACGCCCGGACTTCCTCTCGTGGCAGAAGATCTCCAATAGCTACATCCGATAGGGTAGATGCATCCGTAAGGCGAACCTGACAGGATGGAGGTATGACAAGGAAGTGCATCAAAGCCGCGGCGCAGGCAGCGGGGCACACGAGCTCAAGGGTACCCATGTGGGGAAGAGCGATAGGTTGCCGTGATGATACGAGGAAGTTTGATTTTTCCAGTCGCACGGGGGAGTTGGTATAGGATAGCGTACTTGGCGACATGTCCCATTGAAACGTGGTCAGAAGTGGAAGAGCCGAGAAGGTGTCGACTAGCTCGTCGAGGTTGTGCCACACGTCACAAACGTCCAGCCTCAGACTAAGTAGCGAGGGCGTGAATAGAGGAGAAGGTAGCATAATAGTACAGCCAGAGACACTGACTATCTGGAGACTCCGTGGTGGTGTGGCCTGAAGTATGTCGACATCTAGTATTGCTCTGCGGTATCCCCCCAAGTCGTCGAAGGAAGCATACATATGGAAAGAAGTGAGTTGTGGGGCCGTCGATGCCCTGAGGGCGAGGCGCGAACGTTCGAAAGTCTCCCAGCTGTCCGTTTCAACTAGGAAGTCATTGACACGCTGCAGATGCTCAAAGACGCGGGCATGTGAATCATTCCAGGGTTGATAGCGGATGTTGATTGAGAGCGGTTCAAGCTTCGAACGCGTTATGGCACGTTCGGTCATCTCAGAACCGAAGCCGTGTACCAGGGGGGGCCAGAGAGTGGCGGTGTCGTCGATGATCTTGCGCCACTCTTTGCAAACGCCGCGGGGAATGAGGTGACTGGAGTCATTCCAGCGATCGTGCGCACCAACCGCTTCGAACTTGTAACGAGGGACCGCGGACGAGAGATGAGTGAAGATGTGCGAAAGGATCTCAACAGGGGTGCTGCAAACTGGAGACGCTCCTGCTCGTGCCACTCG